TGCCAATCTGCCCGGGGGAAAATTCCTTCCTGACCCCAACACTGGCGATCGGCTATCCCTGAGCATGTGAGCAAGACCTGCTCCTGGTCCAAAGGCTGATCACGCCTCCCAGAAGACCACCAAGCCCTGTCCTCCCTCAACCCAGAGTCACCTCAGGGGCTTCCAAGAGTGGCCAAAGGTCCCCGTCCTGATAGACCCTGTGGGCAAGAATCCTCCCTCACTATGCTTGACGGCACCAGTGGCTGCTCCAAAGTGCTGAGATTCCTGGAAACATCTCTGCATCTCTGCTTACGGCTGCTGCCCCTGGCTCTGCAGGGGATGAGGATGATGAGCTCTGCAGTGCTCCTCAAGGTGGCATTCCTATGGTCTGGCCACACCTATCCAGCTGAAAAGAACTGCTATCCCTCCTTTCAGCTAAGAAGCTGGTCCCGCCAGGAGCTGGCCTCCAGCAGCCTAGACCAGGCTCTGGTCTTCCTCCCTCAGGGCCCTCCAAGTAACTCCACCAGCTCCTCAAGGACTTCCTCTCGGATGTCCTTGGGCTGCCCTGGGCCATCTCTGCCAGGGGACACAGGAGGCTGCTCCCTTTTATTCTGTTCCATGGCATTGTGACTGCTGTGTTGCTGGGTGGTGTCACAATGACATGGGGGTGACCAGCCCCACCATGCCTAGCCACACCCACTGCCCCTCAGCCCAGCAGCCTTCAGAGGAAGCCTATGGGATTAAAGCCAAATGCTGGCACTCTGTCATACAGTGCATCACCACAGCAGGTAAGCAGCAATCACCCAGACTGTTGTTCTGCTGTACGCAGCTGGTTACTTACATTGATTCTTTAACATGAACTTATCACCAAAAATTGGTGTATAATTCATCTCACTGTGTACAGAGAGAATCCCACAGTTCACCCATTCGTGAAACATGAGAAGCAGCCACAGGTACATTCTTGCTACTGCATTTTTTCACTCATTTCTGTCATTTCATCTCTTAGGGTACACAAAGATTTTTGTTAAAATTGGCATATGTTATGCATAATTTACATTGACAGATTGGACACTATGTTTTGAAACCATTTCAGTATCTCCTCATTGTGATTTCATGATTAAAATCCGTAATTCTAGCCACAACAAAGTCAGGTGAGCTTTGGAATTCTCCAAGGCTTCTGGGATAAATTAGTTGTGAGTTATAATTCATGTTCAAAGTCCTATGCTAAAATCCTAAAGTACAACTGTAACATCTGGCCTGTGACTAGTTAAGTTTGTTAATGATAAGTAAAGGAGGTATACAGAGACCTGTGCTGTCACAAGCAGTATAGCATGTTGATCAATGCGAAAACAAAGCAAGTTGCATTGCTAATACAATTAAAGATGATTAAGGTACACAAACAGGGGTGACTGTTTATCCTCAGTAGCATTTTCGCTGCCTGTAATTGCTGTATATATATACCTGAATGAAATTCTATGCACTTTTACTATTTGGTCACCAGTAAAAAGAGGATGTTCCTTAGCTTTGGTCATCACTTTGAATAAGATCTCGGCTTGTAGTCTTTGCAATAGCAAAATGCTAATATGAGGAGAGGAAGACTGAAAACAATGAGGCACTGGTTTAACACTCTTATCTCCCAAGTACAAGTGTAATGCTCTAATGTGACTATTCTAACATCCTAAAAAAATACTAGAACAGAAATGCAGAAACCTTCTCCATACCTGTCAGGTGTTCAGTTTGGCAGAACATGGAGCAGTTAGCTCCAGGCAGCTGCAACAAGAGAACCTGCCACAGTTTTTGTCATGTTCCTATAGAGAGAACTGTCCCCTCCTTACTATCTGCTGTAGCTAATGATGAAAAATGCCACCATTCACAACTTCACCTTTTCTTCCCTCAACCAAATGGCTGAAGTCTGCAGTAAGAATAATTCATTGTGACAGCTTATCTTTTTGCCCAGTGGGGGTCTTCACTGAAGTGTGGCTATGAAAGCAATTTCCATGCTGATGATGACTGAAGCCTTTATGATTCAGAGCTAAACAAGTTACAAAAGGCAGGAGGATACCAGTATCACAGTCACAAATATCTTCCCATTTCAAAGGAAATGAAATTAAGCTAATATATAGTACACATGGTACTTGGATCCTTTAAAAGAAAGCCACAGAAAAGATGTTATATATAGTGGCATATGGTAATAGAAGTGCTTGTAAAACTCTTATTTGCAGATGTTCATAAGAAAGCCATACAAATCAGTCACATCTAAAGCTTGGCATTATTACTTCTTAGTCAAAGGGTTTGCTTCAAAGTGCAGACTACAAAGAAATAAATTTGATCATGGTAAAACAACAAACTGGATTACGTCTCAATCCTTAAAAAACCCCAAATCAACCCTAAGAAAATTCTTTGGATAATATCCTAATTTCCTTTGATTGTTTCAGAATAACAACTGTTACTCTGTAACACAGACTTCCAGTGCCTAGGAGGCATAAATATAAGATACATAGTTTTATATACATATGTTTTATATAATCAGGATGATGTAAGTGTCCAAGGTGGCAGAAGAAAGAGAGTGAGACTCCATTTCCTTAGAGAAAGCATATATGCAGAAACATACATAAACCAGTGTTATTTATATTAAAATATATTATGAATACAAATATTATGAGGTATATAAAATAAGTCCAATATATAAAGCATAATATTTTAACACAGTAAAAAGTATTTCATATAATACCATATATGGCATATGGTATTATAATGAATAACAATATATATTATTATACCTTATAAAAAGAAATACCATATGAATAGTAACTTCTATATGAAGTTCAACTCAAAAGTAAGCTGCCTGACATATAGGAAGCTTTAAGTTCTGTTTTTCAACAGTGCATTGTAAACCTGATTCTAGTTAACTTACATTCTAAGTTAATTGTAACTACATTGTAATACATTGCAAAAGCCTAATTCTAATTACTTTCCCTATGATGATGGAATTCCTTCTAATAGATGCTGGCATAAACAGGATCAATACAAACTGTCACATAAACAGATTTATCCACCGGGGAAAAAGCAGGGACTTAACTAGATGTATCTTCCCATCCTTTCTTCCAAGTCCATTTACATTCCCAAAACCAGGTGTTCAAAATAAAAGTGAGCAATTCAAACTCTCAAGTACTAACCCATGAGACCTTTCTAATTTCAATTGTATGTGAGGAGATAAAACAAACTTCTTCCCTATGACAGCAACTCTTCGCTTCCTCTTTTCACTATGACTTCAGACCTCAACAGGTCCATGAGAAGCAGCAATGTAAAACAGCCACACACACCAGGACAACAACCCACTGGTACACCACATGCTCCTTCACACTGATATTGCTAAAATGGAATACTGGGTCTGACTGGGATGAAGTTTCCAGTTTACTGTCTTCACAGCAGCCCGTATGGTGCTGTTCTTCAGTTTGGGTAAACCACTGTTGATAACACACCACTGTTTTGGATCCTACTGAACAGAGCTTGCACAGCACCAGGGATTTTGCTCCACAGTCTCCCCCATAAAGGCCAGAAGGAAGGGGGTGGGAGAAGTTAGGAGGTGACACAGCTGGGACAGTTGACCCAAACTGACCATAGCAGTATCCCATACTCTGCAGTGTCATGCTCAGCAATAAAATCTCAGGGAATGGAGGAGGAAGGGGTGGGGATGTTTCTCTTTCCAAACAGGCATTATAGTTGCTGAGACCCCATTTCCCCAGAAGCAGCTAGACAATTGCCTACCAATGAGTAGTACTGAATGAATTCCTCTTCTCACTTGCCTGCATGTGCAGGTTTTGCATTTCTTATTAAACTGCCATTCTTATTAAACTATCAGCTTAATCCAAAAGTCTTTTCACTTGTAAGAGTCTTTTCGCTTTCCCCTCCTCCCCACACCATCTCCTGGAAGAGAGGAGTGAGAAAAAGGTAGGGCAGATGTTTGGCTCCTGACTACAGTCAACTCACAACTTGTTTACTGCAAACTGATGTCTACATTTCAGGAAGAGAGGCATTTTGTAAGACCAAAGCAGTATGCTGCATTTTGTTTTTCTCTTAGTAACATTAATCTCTTTGAGATTCTCTTGCCTTCAGCAGGAAATCAAAAGCACACACTTTTCTTTACCTTAACTATGCCACTCTTTGCTAATACCCAGAGTCATTCAGCCTGTGGAATATCCATCCTTGGACATTCTCAAAACTCTACTGACTGTGGCCCTGAGCAACCTGACACAGCTTTGAAGCTGGCTCTGCGTTATGAGCGGGGCTCGGACCACATCAACTCCATTGGTTGCTCCTTACCTGAATCCTTGTAGGGTTCTATGATCTTGTCATTTCTGCTTCTTTCTAAATTCTAAAAAGCCATCTTCAGCTTTCCAGCAAACTTGTAATGAATTTAATACGTAGGCAATTCTCGTAAGCCAAGCAGCCTGCATTCAGGAGTTGGGCTAATTGCTCTTTGCTGTCTTTCCTCATGTTTTCTTTTTTGCCATCAAAGAAGAAAATATTACTCAGGAGGAAGAGAAATTAACATAGGTAAGTGCTTGAAAAGGCAGGGATCAAAGCAAAAGCCTGCCATAATTCGGAACTACTCTTCTCAGTTTGGAAAAAAGAAAACCAACCCAACCACCAGGCATTATTTTAATACAGTTTAAGCATTTATTACATAAACAGTTGTGCAAGCATGTGGACCTATTTTAGTACTCTGCGGAATTCAGTGAAGCCAGAAGACACTGATGCCACCTCTTCTGTATCACTGTACATTCTCAGAACATGCAGGACAAAGAATCGCAGATTCATAGAATGGTTTGGGTTGGAAAGGACCTTAAGATCATCCGGTTCCAACCCCCTGCCATGGGCAGGGACACCTCACACTAGACCATGTCACCCAAGGCTCTGTCCAACCTGGCCTTGAACACTGACAGGGATGGAGCATTTACCACTTGCTTGGGCAGCATGCATCAGTGTATCAGAGTATCAGCGATGTCTCCACAACTTACCGATCAATAATGGCACACATGTCAATGGTGACATTGGCAAAGCTTCCCAGTTGGCCTTGCTCCACTGCGTGTAAATCCACCAGCTGATCATCCACATGAATAAACTGCATGCACCCTTGAAATGAATGCTGGAATAGCAAGTGATCCGAGTCATTCATCTGTACAGGAAACCCTGTAAAGCAGCAGGATAAAGAGCATTATTCACTTCATGTACTACTGCTCAAACCAGTACTTTTACCACAGGAAAAGACATGTTTTATAGATGGGGAAAGAAAAAGGCAAGGTGGGAAAGAAATATTATATAGTTATTAGATTACATTGTAAGGTTATTGATTTAAGTCATTGGGAACTACCTGCAAGAATTCATACAGTACAGTTGATTATTCTTTCATTAGTTGTGTCTACAGGATGGAAATCTTCTGCTAACCTTCTCCTCCCCCCGCCTTCTAGTGCTGTTTCTCATTATTTCTCTCTTCACACAAAGATTAAGGGAATAGGAAGAATATCCGTCTTGCTGTACTTCAGGAATCACATTCCCACTTCTTAGATTTTTCTGGGCAAAACGCATTCCATGTGTTCCATTAAATGAATTTCTAGACAAGTTTCTCTAGAACTAGCCTTCCTCGGCAATGTACGTGTGTTGGAAACTTTCTGCAAACTTGAAACTAGCCCTAAAATCTAATGTCCTGGCCCACTTCTGAGGAATGTGAGAACATTCTGTCAGATTTCCATTCTTGCTCTCAATACATTCATTTATCTGTCTTTCTGAAGGTGTTCTATAAGAGATGAGAATGAATTAGTGTCTTGACTCATGTTAAAAGGCAGGGACACAGAGGATGTTTGTATGTAGTTGTTTAACTGAATGCCCTTTGGAAGTGACTGTGTTGATTTACTTGTGAAAAATGTCATGGATAAGACAGGCTCTCCTGGATAAGTGGAGAGCCTCATTCATTGCTTCTAAATCTTAAGCAAGAGTTAACTCCCTGGAAAAGCTTCAGGAAAAGAATTTAGACAGAATCTGTTTAAGTTGAGAACAGGAAGAAAGGGAGAGCAGCCAGCATTTTACTGGCAAAGAAAGGAAAAGTGTGAAAAATGCATAATGGATTTACAGATTTCAGCTAGAAAGATGACTAGCCCTGCAGTTCTTGACTGACACATTGGTTTTCGTGCCTAAGACAGCTCCCATTCCTTCTCTCATTTTACTACCCAACTTGCTGATCTCCAATGCCTTCCATCCTTCTTCAGTAAATGGAAACAGCTATTCATGGAGATAGGAGAATAATGGATTATCCAACTAATATTGTTTGAACAGCAGCAGGAAAAAGGAATAAAAGTCTTTCTAAATTCTGTTCCTGAATACAGTTTATCATGTGACACAAAAGGACTGGCTAAAAGAGGTCAGTGAATAGAGGGCAGAAACAAGCGACTGGCACTTGAGGACAGACGCTGCTTAATGTGGCACCTATTAATAAAACAAAACCCAGATACATATAAAGTCTTCCCCAAAATATAATTAAGACCCATTTTAACTGAAAGGTTTTGCCAGAACATTCATGGCCAAAGGCTTGTCTTGAGGTCATATCACCCAACAATGCAAGGAGCCATAAACTACAATGAGGAAGATTATTAATCCCCTCACACTAATACACATCAGATGGAAAAGGACTAACTCCAAAGTATTCCCCAGTTGCCTAACTAATGCACAAAAACCTCATCAAACCAACTGCCCCCCACCAAAATCGTGCTAGTCCCAGACTGAGGATTGTTAGTTTGGATTGGCAGGAAAGTCAAGCCATAGGGACAGGATTTCTATTCTCTTCCCAGCATGTGCACTGGCTAGTGACTTATGTGAAGAAGAGAGGATAGGGCTTTCAGAAACATGCTTCCTACTTCTTTTAACTTGTTCTTTCCAGTGACTGACTAAATTCAGCTGAGGCTTTACAGTAGACAACAGTACAGAGCAACCGAAAGTGCAATTCCCTGTTGTTTGGTGGATACAAGCACAATAGTAAACCCAGCAAAGCCAAGGACATTATATGGCTGTATCTGAATATGATGAAAGATTATCCATCATCTTTCAAGCACTAACTGAAAAATAAGATGAAAACCTAGAGACACAATTAAATTTCCATATCAAAACCAGTATGAACCAAGTAACTAAGCCGCAAATTAGATTCAGCAATATATTCTAAGTTACTACCAACATTTGATAGCATTTGAGAACTAAACACAGAGGCATTTTAATACATGATTCTCAGCTTCACTGCATCTGAAGTGTCACTACACTCTAACGAGCACACGGTTATTATTGGTCTCTGCTGCTGGCTGACCCTGCAAACAGAGAAGTAGAAGCTGGGTCCCTCAGCCTGGGCAGAGACCCCAGGTCCCTGGTTCCCAGGCTGGGCTCCACTGCCTGGGGTGGGAGGGAGTTGTAGGTTGGAGTGGCTGAAGCTGGCGGCTGCTCCTAACCTAACTATGTAAATCAAGGGAGTGGAAGAACAGTGGGTTTTTTGAGCCATATGCTTCTCACAAACCAGCCTTCTCTGACACTGTTTTGTTTTCTGCTTTAAAATTGCAGTCATAGCTTAGACAAACCTGTCAGAATGCAGATTAAAACATACTGTTCTGTAAAGAATTTTGCACTTGGGAAAGACACTAGATAACCCTTGTATTAATATGTATGCTGTTTGTTAACTATTTTAGGTATACAGCCTAATGCCCATTAATTTTGGTGGGACCTGGACATTCTAGATAATTCCAGTCCGAGTCATCTGGGGCAAAGCTTTTGCTTTGCCCTTGTGATTGTTATTTCAGTACACACAACAATGCCTTCCCCTTCCACATGTCCATTACTGAGACGTGATTCACTTCCTCATCCTTCCTACAGTGAGTGAAATTAAATGAAGTTATAGAACCAAGGCTGACTGTAATGCTGTCACTAGAAAGGCTAAATGATGGCTGAACAATTTGACCAGCACTGTATTGGTCTTCTTGCTGACAAGCAAATATGTACCTTTCCAAAAGGTACATAAAATGCAGTTTGGACAGTTTAAAACCACGTTCACACTTACGATTACAAAAGCACGTTAAAGTCAGGTAAACTCCCTTATCCTGTAATTTGTACATCTTTCTGTGTTTTCCCCTACAAAATCTGAATCTTACTGTTTTTTTTTTTTCCCATTTTAAGCTGTTGTGGTTTAAGCCTAGCCGTAAATCAGAGCCATGCAGCTGCTCTCTCACTCCTCCACTTCCTCTCCCCTGGCTCCCAGAGGGATGGGGACAAGAATGGAAAGAATGTAACTCCCACGGGTTGAGATAAGAACAGTTCAGTAACTAAGGTATAACACAAATCACTGCTGCTACCACCAATAATAATAATGATAAGGGAAACAACAAGGGAACAGAATACAATCGCTCACCACCTGCCGACTGATACCCAGTCCAACTGAGCAGTGATCTAGCCCTTCCAGGTAACTGCCCCAGTTTATATACTGGGCATGACGTGCTGTGGTACGAACTGGATTATCCTGCAAAGGTCAGACGTGAACTGAATCTGAATTTAACTGAGTTAAAGAAAATTTGTTTCCAGAACTTCATTCTGACCTGCCGAACATGGAACAGCCCAAATTCTAGATCCAACTCCTGATCTTAATTCAAACTTGCAAGGAAGATTAGAAGATATATAATTTTGATTCATGCTATTTTCTATGTTAGAAGTCACTTTAATAAACATAGTAAGCTATAATAGCTATAATAAAATGCCTATGAAATAAACCCAGTATTTCTTTGCTGGTGTCAAGATCTGTTATGCCTCTCTTCCAATCCCGAGTAAGGTTCTATCAAAGACAGCATAACAAAGAAAGTCGAAAGAAGAATATGTTTAGGTTCATGGTATTGTAACAAAACTACATACAGTCAGAGCATGTCATTAAACATCTGATGCCCTATTTAATTTATGAGATCTGATGAGAGAATGAAATATCATACTAGACCCTGAATATACAACTAGAGGTTATTTTGTATCCTTATGTGAAACAGATTTTCTTTGAAGCACAGTACAAATTATTGTGTGACAAGATGACATTTTTTCTCCATAACTTGTGAGAACACCTCATTATAGTTTTTTTTTGGCCTTTTGTTTTATTTGTAAGTCAATGATAGGCTGTATATATTTATATTTGTATGTATACATATACAGTGGGGGGTACAATGGGGGGGAACTAGTGAACTAGTAATCAACAGGAACAGTGACTGATCTCACGTCTGCCACTGATTTTTATCTGCGTGGTATTTCAAGTATACTTCCTGGATCCTTGCAGAATGAGAGGAAGGAAACAAATTCTGTATTTGTCAGGATAAATGGCAGCACAGAACCGTTCAAGGTCAAGCTATCTTCAGATTTTCTGTAGCTATCATACATAATTCAAACATGTTATTCTGAACTCAGAGAAGAAAACTGAAATTCAGTGCAAACCAATTCACTTAGATTGAAAATAATACCTTGCAATTATGTTAATAAACATGAAAAGACACTAAAAGGAAAGCTCAATACACCTACCCACATCCAGTGTAGTATTTTTATGCTTGTTTCAGTCAGATCAGAATGGGGCCCTTACTGTGAAGTGGAACAGAAGCAATTATTTTGGAAAACTAGAAGTTTCCTGCTCCAAGAGCATGAAATAAACTTCAGCGTTTCCCAGCTCGGTGGAGTGCAGAAACAGAAACCAGAATGGGAACTACAATTTTTCTGTGTGTTTTTGCAGAGAAAGGCACTAATTTCTTGAATGAGGCATTTTCTAAGAAATTAGTCTTTACTTTTGTCTTCATTGTTTCATCTCTGATTTATAGAAACACAGAGGTTGAATAGCATGGTAGGGCATTTCATCCCAACAAATGTGTATTCCTAACCTAAAACCCCGAAATGGCTTCATATACAGAGAGAAAAGCACACTCTCCTAGTGCTAGAGCTTAGAACAAGAGGATGTAGTGTTTCCAGCACTCCCGGGGCACACTCACATGAGTCCTCCAAGTAAGCCAGGCTAGCCTTAATGAAGCCTCCAGTGCAGTCTGCAGAATCTTCTCTGTGCATGTCACTGATATTGTGATGAAAAAGTTTAACCAGATCTCACAAGACTTGGCAGCGTTTTCTACCAGTCTTGCACCTCCTGATTC